CCTCACCTCTGCCCTCTGAGATGGGCTCGGTGGGCCCTCGGTCCTCCCGGTGTGAAACAGCAGCTGCTTTCTTTCTTCTTGAAGCCTCCCACCCCCTGGGCCACCTTGTGCGTTGGGGACACTCCCCAGGCCTGATCGCTGCTTCTGCTCTCACAGCAGCCCTGGGCCACCTTGTGCGTTGGGGACACTCCCCCGCCCTGATCACCGCTTCTGCTCTCACAGCAGCCCTGGAAGGAAGGAAGGCAGGCAGGCAGAGGGTGACTGTTCTGGAGGGGGCTTGTCCTGCCTGCCCTATGGCGGGCGCCTGCTTCATGTCAAAGCATCCTCACGTTGGCCTTGAAACCGTTTCTCTGATCGTGTGACGTAGAGAGGACGCCCCAAACAGGAGGCGATGGTGATGCAGGCAAAGCTCCGGATGATGACGATTCCCTCTTTGGCTTGATTAGGGACGCTGGAGGGGGCTTGTCCTGCCTGCCCTATGGCGGGCAATTACGTTTTTTGTGCTGCCTTGGATGTGTGACGTTTTGGCTTATGTGATTCGTTCTCTGTTTTATTAACCTCACTGTTTGGTTGACTTCCCTTTCTGTGTGATTTTATTGTTTGCTGTCCAGAATAGTGCCTTGCACTGATGGGATGGTATTTTATTTATTTATTTTATTATCTTTATAGACAAATAGTCTACTCTGGGCAGTATAAAAACCTATCAGATAAATAAATAAACCCGGGGCCTGGTTGGCCCCATAGAGGAGCCCGGGGGTTCGGCAGGACCATCATCACGTGTGTCTCTACCCCCAATGCAGTGCTGTCCGCTGATTACCTGGAGGATTTTCTGTTGGAGTTTGACCAAGTGGTCCAGGACTTTGAGAAGGGCCAGCCTTCTCAGTATGAGCAGTATCTGGAGGCGCTCAAGAGGAAGACCTCCGCCAGCATGTACGACAGTGGGATCGATGACTCAGAAAGTGAGTGCCTCGTTCTTTCCGTTACAGAAACCGAGACGGGGGAGGCAGGGAGTCTCGCGTGGAGGATTTTCTGTTGGAGTTTGACCAAGTGGTCCAGGACTTTGAGAAGGGCCAGCCTTCTCAGTATGAGCAGTATCTGGAGGCGCTCAAGAGGAAGACCTCCGCCAGCATGTACGACAGTGGGATCGATGACTCAGAAAGTGAGTGCCTCGTTCTTTCCGTTACAGAAACCGAGACGGGGGAGGCAGGGAGTCTCGCGTCATGCCATCGCTTTCTGCATGTTCGTTTTCCGACGACTCAGAAAGTGAGTGCCTCGTTCTTTCCACGGGGGAGGCAGGGAGTCTCGCATCATGCCATCGCTTTCTGCATGTTCCCCTAGTTTTCCGACTCTCTGGCAGAAGCTGCTGGTTGCAGGTACAGCCCTCTTTCCACTCCCAGCTTTGTTTAGGCCACAAGAAGAACTGAGGCACAAGATCCTCCACGGCCCTTGGCGGATCTAACCTTCAGCAGCCAACAAGCCTAAGGCGGCTGTTCAGGCAACTGCTGGCTGGCTGTGTTGCCATCTGTGGCTTTACTCCCCCCCACCAACCTTCACCGCTGGGGGCGGGGTGGGGGCTCTGTCCTGGGCCACCAAAGGGGACCCGAAGCTGCCTGGCATGCAGAGATGATGGCTTTGCACCCGCACTGGCTCTGGCCCTGTCTTCCAAAAGTCCAGGCAGCGGATCTGGAAAACAGTTCTCTGGTTCACTGCAGTGGGGTCGATGCGCTTGGACTGCTGGCATGGCCAGCAACGGCCTCGTCTCCCTGTTTCTGTGGCTGGGCGGCTGAACTGACCCGAGAGGCAGAGCAGCAAAAGGCCCTCCAGGGCAAGTGCAAAGGACCCAAATCTGTACAAATGACTCTGGCAAGAGAGACAGAAATCCTGCACACCACTCTCTCCCACCCCCCGCCCCCCGCATCCTTGAATGCAATTGCAAGAAATCCTATAAGGAGTCCTGTACCTCCCTTTCAAGGCTCCCTTTCCCTAAAGGCAGGGCCGGCTCAACCCTCTGGTCCTTGTAGAGCAGCTGACTCGCCATTACTGGGAGGGAGTTCTTTTTCCAGAACAGGACAAGATGTCTTGGGTCCTGCCGGGGCTGGACCAAATGTGTCCTGTGGCTGTTCTTGGCGTCATCCGCCCGGGAGACACAGGAAACATCAGCCGGCCCACCCTTTCCCCCATTGTTAATAGAGGATGATGATGAGGGTCTGCTTTGAACCTCCCCGTGGCTGCATCTGCATGTGTGTGCGCGCTTTATTTATTTATGCATACATGCCTGCATACATACTGTACATACCCTACTTTTCTCCTTAAAAAGAACCCAAGGTTACTTAAAGATGCTATTTAAAGATAAAAGCAATGAGTATACAAAGGCGGCTTACCTCATTGAGAAGACAATGGTTAAAAGTTAAAAACAAAGGATCAAACAAAAACCACTCTGAGAAACAGTGAAGAAAAGCAATACTGAGAACACATTCAAAGCAGGAAGGCATAACAGTCCATTTAAAACTCCCAGCTAGTCATTCCATCAGCCTACCAGCTCCATCTCCCTTGAACTGCCAGGGTTCCATCCTGCAGAGTCCTGGGACATACAGTTTGGACTAGAGGAGTCATCTCTGGGTGAGATGCTTGGGATTCCCTCCTCTCCTTCCAAGGAGACCTTAAGAACTCTCCGGTGCAAAACTCTGTGTTTCCTTCCCCCCCCCCCGAACTGCAAACTGGACAGGATGGAGCCATGGCAGTTCCAAGTGGTATCAGACTGGGATAACCAACTAACCAGGGGTAAGCAGCAGTCCCTTGCTTGCTTGCTCGTTCTGGTCTCCAGCTCCCGGCCCTGGAGAGGTGCACAGCTCTGGTGGTAAGGGATTCTTGGTTTCACCTGCAGGCAACGGCGCGTCTCTGGGCAGTAGCCTGAACACCAGTGAGGAAGACCTCAACACGCCACCCCCTGCAACGGCTTCCTGCTCCAGAGGTGAGGCTGGGCAAGGGTGAGGAAGACCTCAACACGCCACCCCCTGCGATGGCTTCCTGCTCCAGAGGTGAGGCTGGGTGAGGGAGGGGAAGTGCCCTGCAGGGTCTACTCTTGGGAAAGCCAAGCACTGCCCCAGCCCCCCCCCCAAGCCCCAGGAAGCATGACAGCAACCTTTTTGGCCCAGCAGCCAAATTCAGTGGTGGAGAAGTTCTGAGGGAGGTGGACAATCCTTACCTTTGGAAGAGGTGCCTCAGAGGCCCCTAAAAAGGGGAGGGGGCAATCCATGCAATGGGGGGGGAAGCACCCGCACTGGGTGGGTGTCCTGAAACAGGGGTGTGTCCACCATGGAGCCCCAGAGGGGATGATGGGGATCCCGGAAGGCCTGGATTGGCCCCAAATCTGCCCCTGAGCGAAAGAGAGGAGCTGCTGGAGATCAAAGTGAGTGGGCTGGGCTTTCCCCCCCCTGCATCTGGGAGGGGGGGAGGAGGCTAGACTATTTTTGGAGTCCTCCATCATCATCATCAGATGTTGTGATGCCTTCAAAATGCACATCTCTGTGTGATGAGACAGGGAACGGTGGTGTCATGAAATCAGTGGGTTGTCTCTCTCAGGCAGTGGGACAACAGGGCTCCTTCCGGCTGGGGTGAGAAGGGACACCTGGACTGCCTTTCAGGCAAGATCAGGCAAAGCCTAGGGAAGATGATGAATGGTCACGGAAACATAACTTTAGCTGAAGAGTTTTCCCACAGCCTCTGAACGGAGCTCCCCGTCTTCGTGAGGGAATTGTTTGACTCTCCAGTTCGATGCTTTCAGGGTCCAGCTGGCAAGCTCATAACGTTGTCCCTCTTTGTGTCGTAGCCAAGCTGGGAGACACCCAGGAGTTGGAGGAATTCATTGCCGACCTGGACAAGGCGCTGGCAGGTAAGGGTTAGGGCCGACGGGCCGTTGTGCCTCCCCATTGACCACAGTGGGGAGGTGGGCATCTGCTTTCGTTATGCTTCAGTGCCCTCTCTTGCCCCTGGTTTGTGCCACCCCTTCAGCTGCGCTGCTTGGAAGGGCCCAGTTTCCTAAAGTGAAGTGAAGCTGTTGGCAAAAAAATCCTTGGGCCGCTTTGCTCCTCTGTCTCTTTACTGCTGCTTCAAAAGTGTTCTTATAACAATCATCGGGTGGTTTTTAAGGGAGAAACTCTGGCTTCTTTTCAATTAAACCTCTTCTGTGGTTCTGGCTTGTTTTTCGTTATGCTTCGCTGAAACACGGAGATGGGCAAAACCCTGGACATGGTCTGTGCAGGAAGGATGGATGTGTGTCTCTTTGTGAGAAGTGGAGGGCATGGTGGACCTTGGGTGCAATCCTGGCCAGAGGGAGGAGAGGGGGAGCAGGTTTGCGTGCTTTCTATTTGGACTGACCACTTTTCTCCTTCCATTCCCCTACAGAGATGTGAGCCACTCTGTTCTCCTCTGCTCCAGATCGGTGTCCAGACTGAAGGACCACCCGGGCTGCTGCTGCACCTCTTACCATCCCACCCTACGGCCTGGCCAGGCCAGCCTCAGCCAACGTCAGACCCACCCCAGCCCATCTGAGGCCACACACACCCCCGGCCGTTCTGGATTCTACAGCATGTATGGATCGCAGACGGTGCTTTCACTGGGCAGCCAGAGGTCAAGGCTTGCGCCTGCCCAGGGTGGGCTTTGGATCCTCACCACTGACCTCTGTGAAAGCAAGAAGCGAGTGGGATCCTTCTCGGGACCTTCCGTGGCCTGCGCTCTTAATTCCACCTGGTTGTTCTCGGGACTCTTGTGACAATCCTTAAAAAGCACCAACTTCTAAAACTGGAAAGAGGCATCTGTCTCTTCCCCCCCCCCACATCCAAGGGTGGGGAAGCCACACGGTAGGAAGGTGATGGCTCTGAGCCCTTAGTCTCTGGAGATGGGGGTGGAGGACAGTGAGCCCAGAAGGCAGCTCTGTGGGCCCTCCTGCCCGGCTGCTCTCTTCCGTCCGGCGGGACAAGCTAAACTCCGAGGAAAGGCAGCCAAAGCAAGCCTTGCCCAACCTCCTCTCTCGGCCGCAAGCCTAGGAACTGGGTCTGGAAACATGCCTTGGGCGTGACTCTGTGCATGGAAGCGCATGTGCTCTAGCACATGGACACGAAGTGTCTTGGATGTGTCCAGGCTGCCCCGTGGCTTTTCAGGGGGGGCAAGAGGGCTGCATCTCGGCTCTCTCCGGGGATATGAAGGACAAAGGGCCATGCTGGGCTACATGCGCATGCCTGTTATGCACACCCTTCCCTCCAAGCTGCCGTGACTGGAACGAACCACGGGCCTCTCCCCTCCCTGGGGCTGGATTTTAATGTATATATTGTAGAAGAGTAAAGTTGCATCTGTCCCATTATTATGTTTGTACATGTAACTATTTAAATAAATGGAGCTTTTGCAGAGAATTTGACCCTTTGTGTAGCTCACTTCCACACTCTGCGCAGACACCTCCATGGGACTGTAGAATGTTATCACAGAGTCATACGAACTGCCGAGGGGGCTAAGCGGCACGTGGGTCATCGCTCCCTGCTCAATGCAAGAATCTGCGTGCCCACATCCTTGGTTCTCAGTTGGCCGTCTGCTAGACCCGCAGAAATGGGACTCTGTAAGGAGGGGGTTGAGGTTGGGGGGTCTTCAAGAGAAAAACATGGCTGAGACCTTACTGCAGATGTTTTGAACGGGGAGAGGGGTGAGTCCAAAGTCTCCTGCCATCACATTGGGTTTCTGATTTATATTTACACTCCACCTTTCCACTAAAAGAATCCTGCTCAAGGTGGCTACAAAACCTTATTAAAACAAGTTGTAAATGGATGTTTAGAAAGGTTTTAAAAGGGAGCAAAAATTAAACTAGTCAAAGCAATTAAAATAATTACAGTAATGAGTAAAATGATTTTTTAAAAAGTCTGGTGTGAGGAGTTACAATTCCATAGCCTTCCGAAAAGAAACAGAAGGGTGACTGGCAGGGAGAGGATCCGTGTCCCAGAGGAAATGTGGAAGAAGAAGGTGGTCCCCGTTGCTGGAGTTGGAGCCCAAATTTCTGGCTTACAGGAAAGCCTCTGCAGCTCACGGGGGAGAAGAAGGTTCTGCTGAGCAGCCAGAGAAGGTGGCAGTGGAAGGGGGGGGGCAGCCTGTCTGGAAGGAGGGGGTGACTGTGCAGCACTTCTTCCCAGCTTCAGCCGGAGCAGGCCTGCAAAACCTTCAGTCTAGCAATGCTTGCCTTGAGGTCAGCCACTTCCTTGCCGGCTGCCACGAAGGCGGCCTGTCTTTCCAAACAGCATCTCCGGCTCATCATGAGAGCAGCCACGTGAGCGAAGCACATACTCGGCAGACAGCGGAAAAAAACCCCAAGGGGGCCGAGTGAGGGCTGGACCGCTCTCCAGGGAGAACCCCTGGGCTGAGCCTGCATTGCCTCCTTGCCTGCTCTCTCTCTCTCTCTGTGGCTTTTGCCAACCTCAGGGGACCAACCCTGGCAAAGCTGCCTAGTAGGCTCCCTCTTTGCCAGTGGGGGTGGATGGGTGGGTGGAATCATAACATCAGTGAGAAGGAATGAGTTGCAAGCAATGCCTTTTCCTGTAACTAGTTACTTTGGGGAGAAAAGAGGGCATAACAAAATTATATTTCCAAAATAATGTTAACAAACATGAAAGAAATTACTTTATTGCTGCCATGAGGAATGTCTTCCTGTTCTTTCAAAAGTTTGGGGGACATTTTGACAGGAATGTTTCAAGTTGTTCATGCTATTCATTTGCCAGTCCTTTATGTTCCCTCTTCCACCGCCCAAAAGGAAAAAAAAGGAACAAAAAAAGGGGGGGAGAGAGGGAGAGAGAGGGGTGCAGAAAGTAGCAGAAAGGCTATTTTAAGGAGGCATGACAGTACAGTATATTACTTTTCAAACATGTTAATGAGTAATGGAAGTGAATAACTTTTCAGAAGAAACTTTCCAAGCCCTGCTTCCACCAGGGAATTGCCGGTCCATGCAGATACTGAACAGTCTTATGAATCCGTGCTTGCCAATGTCAGGTTTTTTAGATTACCACTTCATATTTGGGAAGGTTTGTCCCAAAATGTAAGGTTCCCAAATGTGGCGTCAAAGGCATAATCCTGGCAGCTCTTCCTTTGGACTTCCTCACCTCTAAACCTGGCACCTTTCATCGCAATGGGATCGTGCTCCTTCTCATTCATTCTTTTTCATTTTTTATTCTGGTTCACGGTGCAGCTCCTGGTCGTGCAGGAGGTCTGGGGGGGGGGTGGTCTTCTGGACGTAACTGAGTTGGACTGCTAGGCTTCTAAGCTCCAGAAAGTCACCAGTCAACTTGCTTCCCCAGCACCTACAGGCTTAGAGCCCAGCCTTCCTTTCCTCCGGCGGTTTGTGGCCATGCCATGGTCATCTGAAGCCACGTGTGGGATGGGGAACATGGCTTCCAAGGCAGCACGTGACTGCAGCACATGGAAGGAGATGGCTGGGTGGTACAGCCCCATCAGGTTCTGTGGTTTCTACTCCCGGTCGAAGTACGTTGCTTAGCATCTGTTTCTAGCTCGGTTGCTGTTTTGCTCTTCTCGGCTCTGCAGTTTGGAAGGGGAAGGAAGGAAGTGGCTTATAGGAGGGCTGTCGTGTTTACGCTTTCTAGAAGGCTCCTCCACTTTTCATGCCTGCCTGATTTTGCATCCGTTAATTAGCCAACATTAGCTGACTGCCATTCTGGCCCCTGCTCTGCAGCCGGTCATAGTGCGGGAGGGGGTGGGTGGAGAAGGGTGGAGGCAGAGCAACCTCTGCACAAAGAGCCACCCAACCTAGAGGGAGAAGCTGCCTCCGAAAACCTTACCCTGCTGCTGCTGCGGCCGTGGCTACCGCTCTGCTTGCCCAGGCATTCAGAAGCATTGTGCTCTTTAGTTAGCTTACAGTGGTGTTCTTCAGCTTTAAGTTTGTTTTTATTGCTTCATCATTCATTTGCTTGTGTTTTATGTTGCATTCACACTCCAGTTAATTTTGTTTTCTATGCATCTCACACTCTGTCTTGATATGCAAGGATAAATCAGCCATAAAAGGGACAAATTCATTCAGTAAATAAATAAGTCCCAGATAAATAGAATTCCCTTTCCTGGCAACCCCACTCCAGTCAGCTGCTGCCTCCCCCCCCCCCATCCACATTCTTCAGGAGCTCAGCCAGATGATGTAACTCTGCGAGTCAGACTTAAAGATGGCTTTCTCCCTGGTTTTGGCCTGGCTTAGTCACCGACCACACGCTCCATCCTGTCGGGCCAACAGAGCAGCTCGTTGTCCCTGACTGCCCAGCTCAATAAGCGGAGCACATGTGCGACCACGTCAGAAAATGTGGCCCTTCATGGCGTTTGGGAAGGGGCTCCATGACAGGCACTGACTGACTTGCATTGGCATCGATGCCTCTGCCGGGCGGCCCCTATCACTGAAAGCAAGCCCACCCCTTGGCAGCGTTCCTGAGGGGCCAGGGCACCCCAGGGCCAAAGGAGGAGAAGGCAAGGACTGGGGAGGGACCTGGGCTGCTGTCGCATTGCAAGTGGAGCAGGGAGAGAAGCCCTTCTGCAAGGGTGGGGGGGGGAGTGGGGGGGTCCCTTGCCAGGTGCATGACAGCAGCAGCCTCTTCTTGCCTATGGGGAAACAAGGCAGGTCTTCTGAGAATTACCCAGTGGAACTAACTTCTGTGACTTCCCTGGAAAGGAGAAGAGAAACTGTGGTGCTGGGCCAGGCTTTCCCCTTTCATATCACACCGTTCCTTTTTTTTCTTAGGCAGAACTTCCCCAGCCAGTGACAGGGAATGTGACCAGAGAGGGGGACCCACAGGGCTCCCACCCTAGCCCCGCCATGAATGCATTCCCCACCAGGCTGGCCATTCCCAGGACGGCAGTGAGGTCACCCCGGCGAGCCTTGTCCCTGGGATGGGTGACACACCGAGGTGGGGGCAAAGGGGGCCAAAGAACACAGCCCTCCATCACCAAGCACCTTCTCTGGTCACAAGGCCCTGGGGAGAGTTCCATTTTGAAAGTAATGAGTGAGCAAAGCAGTCCAGTCACTTTCTGAAGGACAGTTTTAGAAGCGATTTTGACAGCTTTTTCCTTTTAAACACTCCAACGTATATGAAAGGGGAATAAGCAGCATGTGTATCGCTGCAATTTCAAAGAAGAGAAAAGAGGTTTACAAGATCTAATCAGGCCTGGGGAATGTGAACTCTGCTCCTCCACCATTTCCAGCATCCGCCCTTCCAGCAGTGCCCACGTTTGGCCGAGAAAAGAGGGAGCAGCAACAAACGTCATCATGCAAGCTTTTAATAACATGTTTTAGGATAGTCTTTCCCCAGACTGAAGTTTACCAGATGTCCTGGACTACAAGTCCCCACCCAGCAATCCGATTGTAGGATTTGCAGACCTCTGGAAGATGCCAACTTGGGAGAGGCAAAGGTGAACTCCCCAAGGGGCACTTTGGAAGAGGCCAGCAACAAGATGCACCCCTTTGGAGGCCGTGGCGCTGCCAGAATGCCATTTTCCCTCTTGGTCCCATGGCTTCTAAGAATAAAGACTGACACAACAGCAGCTTAATATGTTAAAGAAAAGAGGTTGCTTTTTCCAATGTGGTCATGGAAGGATGAGGTTTTAGAGCTCATTAATCTGTTCACCCTTTCTTTTTCCTTTTCTTTTTCTTTTTGGGTCTACTAAGATTCCAGTCGCTGGAGACAGGAGTTGAGGCCCGGCTGCCCCTTCTCCTTACCCACACGTGGCAATAGTCTTTCCCTGCACTGCTTGGAGCCCCCCACCCTCTGTATAGTGAAAGGATAGCCAGCACATAATGTTTGGTTTGTGGTGGCCAAAGGTCTGTATTGCCTGTGTGACTAATTCCGAGTGTTCTTCACATGAAAACATAGGCTGATCCCACGATTAAGAGCAACTTCTTGCTAACTCTCCTGGAAGGGGGGCTCGGGAGGGGAAAGGCAGGTGATGCTGCAGACGTGCCAACTGGGAGGCTTTGAGGAGCCACCTGGGACTCCCTGGAGGGCTGGCTGTGGGGCTGGAGAAACAAGCAAGCCAGGGCTGATTGCGGAGAGATAAAAGCCAGCTCTTAGCCAGAACAGTCTACTACGTCCTCCGGCAAAAGACAGAGGATTTCAGAGGTGGAGGGGGTTTCCTTGAGAGTGGGTGCAGAATCACAGGGCTGGGAGAGACCGTCACTCCCCCCCCCCAAAGGGCATCTTGTCCGATCGACCGCCAACGCAGCCGATGCATGGCTGGAGCGTCCCTGTCAGGAGGACACCACCTTCTGAGAGACTTCCCTCCAGAGAATGGGTTCTTCTCCTTGTTCTCTTCCAGAGGAGGATGACCTCACCTACGAAGCATCCCAGACACTGGGTTCCCCCACCACCACCACCCGCCTGCCGGGTCACTTCCCCGCATTGTTCCTCGGCCCTTGGGCAGGGCCGTCCGGGTGGTGGGGCTGCCATAAAGATCAGCCTAGATACTTTGCAGGGAGGGTGGGATGGAGCAACCCATGCTTGGGACTGTTCTCGGTGCCTCTCCTCCAGCAGGGCCACCTTTCCCAACAGACATACAGAGGTGGCTCCAGGCCCAAGAGGAGAAGCCTCCCCCCCCCACTGCTGCCCACGCTTGGCCTCCCGTCCTCTTGGGAAGCCGGTCCTAGTCCTGACCTTAAGGAGACATGCCGGGACTCCCTGGACTCTGTGCCAGGTGGCTGTCTTTTCCTGGTGCAGTTCCAGCTCCCCAGCAGCCCACCACCTTCTGCCCGGTTTCTCCCCTTCCCCAGTGAAGGGTTTCCTGCATGCGCACACATGTGAGAAACCGTTGACACTGAAGCCACAGGTTCTCTCCTGGCAACGTCCCGAAAGCCAAAGTTCGGCTGCGAGGGTTAGGCAGGGCCTCACTTGTGTAAGGGACTCCACTTTCCCAGACACAACCACCCCCACCCACCACCCTGGCATTGTTCTCTAGCTGGGATACTGAAGTATGAAGAGAGTGCTTTTGCCCTCAGTGAATCCAGCAGAAGGATGACTCACAATGCCAGCCCGGGGTTGGCATCCAACTTCTGGGTCGCCAGGTGCCTCCAGGTGAGCTCACCAGCAGCACCTGGAAAAGATACCCAGCCTCACTGTCAGTCCCTCCCTTTCTCCCAGCCCTGCTTCCCCCACCCCCCATTTGTTGAATGTCTTTCAGAACCCACATTGAGGCAGTGGCCCCCAATATACTGCGTCTTGTGGCTATGAGTTCCAGAAGGTAACCAACCAGTCAAGTGTTGCTCAGGCAGTTTCCACCCCAGGGGGAGCAAGGCTGGCATCCAAGCCTTGCAGAGAATTGCCGTGGGGAGAAACGGCAGTGAACCCTGTAGCTCCCCGGGAATTCCCCATGGTCTCTGTCTCTCTGCGTGCCGAGACACCACATTTCCATTTCAGCATTTCCCCTTTGCGAAGCGTCTTCTCAGCAACGTGTAAACAAAGCGGGTGGCACCAGGGCAGGAAGCTGGGAATCATGTGGCCGAGTCTTATTTTTAAAATGACACAATAGGCAGATGTTATTCTCAGCATCGCTAGACTGTTTCCTAGAATACAAAGACCCAACCAGCCAGTGAGGTGAAATGGTCTTAACCTGTCTGTCTTCCTCCCTCCAGAGGCGTCCCTATTGTTATCGGGAAGGCATTCAGGCTGGGCCGAGCAACTCTGGCCAGAAAGACCTCGAGCTCGCTAGTTTTTCTTTGGGACCCCCTTTTCCCACCTGGAATGGCTCCTGGTGGTGGAATTCCCCCACCCCACCCTGCAGAAAACCAGCATGGTCAAGCTCTGAATATATACCCCGCCCTCCTCCCACAAAGGGTATTCAAAAAAACCAAAGATATTAAAAACCCAATGAAAATGAAAGCCACTTAATCATAAAGCAAATTCCTTATACAAATGCCTTTAGTCTTTAACACCCTCTCCTGTTTGTGCTGCTTGGAAATAACCAGAGGTGTTACATCAGTAAAGTAACTTTAATCCTACTTGTTACCACTACTTTTGAAATGTAACTTCATTGTGCCCTGATTAGTGGAAATGTAACTAGTTGGTGGTAGCTGTGTGAGTTGTAAGTCCCTGCTTCTGAGCTCTGGGCAGAGCCATAGTGGGGGAGACCCCCCCCCAATAGGAACCAAACTAAGCCAGAAGGGAAGAAGTTCCTCCTCCGAGCCTCCTCCTTCTCCACCTCCTCCTCCACCTCCTGGCTTTTGACCAATCTGGACTTCAATGACTTTGCTTGCAGGCCCCTTGATCCTTGGTCCAAACGGTGTTTCGCTTTTGAACTCTTTCTGGTGACACATGTGAGTGAACCCAGCCACCCAGGACGGTGGCCTCATTCTCCCACAATGAGCTCATGACTCAGCTGGAAAGTGCCAGGAAGTGACGACAGGCAGTGAGTGAGTCGAGGTCCCAATTCACTCCCTCCAAGGGTGACCTCAACCTCCTGCAGGAGGGGAGCTGCGAAGGGGAGGGGACGGGAAGGGGAGAGGAGAGGAGGGGTGCCCCTCTTGGGCTCTCTGGCAAGGTCGCTGCAGGGTTATTCTCGGACCGTCCTGGGCAGCCAGAGGCACCTTCCGGGCACAAGCGCCCCTGGAGTGAGGCATGCCTGATTGACCGATCCGGCTTATATCGCACCTTTCCCTCTCAAACTGGGACTGAAAAAGGGAGCCAAACAGAGAAAACAGATGGTTCAGCAAATGCTGGTAACATATGAAACGTAACAGCATGGAAAGCAACTTAAAAAGAGACTGGAATGTCCTCGACTGCCTGGCGTCAGGCAGCAACCTGACTTAGATGCTCCTCCAGCCCTCGTCGTCTTCGATTTGAGGGGTCAAGCATTGGGGGGGGATGAGAAGGAAGGAGACCTCGGCCCTGAGGGGGGAGGCTGGAGAACTCGGGGGGGGGATGCCCTCGGCTAGTGGCAACAAGTCACGTCCGGACAGACCGCGGGTCTCACTCAGAATGACTGACTTGGGCAACTGACGTGGGGCAGTCGTGAGGGTGCTGGACCAGGAGTTGAAAGGCCTGGGTTCAAATCCCTAGTCAGCCTCAAAGACCTTTGAGGTTCATCTTGGGACGACCACTCTCCCTTCTGCTGTGATCTCCCTCACAGGGGGAAGAGTGGACTAGGCGTGCAGTGACTAAGCGATCCATAAGCTCCACATGGACTCAAGAGAAGACATTCTTCTCAACAGAGCGAGAGAGACTGTCCTGGCAGTGGTGCGTCCAGCATAAATGGCCAAGGGGTCGGGGCAACCGGCCCCCCTTGCTAAGAGCTCCCCCAGTTCCTCCAAGAACAGGCGCCAAGGGAAGGCTGAGCGATTCCCACCCTCCAACAGGCAAAGAGAAGCACTTCACGCCAGGAAAGAAGAGCCCATCTGGCTCCATCTTGTGGTGGACAGCAGTTCCACAGGTGCGTCCTTCAGCCACTACAGCTGAGATGCAAAACAGTGGTGGCAACCTGGAGGCCAATTCATTTTGTTGTGCCTGCTCTTCTGAAAGCTGCCACCCAGTTCATCCAGACATAGAGAAATGAGGTGTCCCTGCCCCTCCTTGAAACGGATGGAACTCAACTGGGATCAACCTCTTTTTTTCACCACATGCATAAGAATAAATCAGGAGTGGATTGACTGCGGCCTTCCTGGTGTTTCTGGCCAGCATCCCCTCGTCTCTCACTATAAGTTAAGTTGGTGGGGGGGGGTTGCAGTTGTAGATCCACCCCAGGATAAATATTTAAGCACGTAATTCCAAACCAATCTAAGTCCAGTTAATTTCACAGGGGCGGGGAACTTTACAATACTTACTATTCATTTTTCTTCACAGTGCACTTGCATTGCCCAGTGCTCTTAGTCTCATGCCATTATAACTGCCATGGACCTGGGAATCTATAGTTTTGTTTTTTTTTTAAGGGAAGGGTTGGAATAGATGGCTTTGCTCTGGTGCCCAGCCCTGGAATCCAGCAGGGAACCCCCACAGACTCCCAGGACTCTCTTCACACAATATGAAAGTTGCTGTTATGGAGAAGAAAAACTACAGAGCAAGACTCCAAAGAGAAATAGCTGAGATAAAATATATACGTATGCCGGATACCTATGTTAATGCATTAAATATTAGCCAAGGTTCTTAAGCCATTTCCAACTGTAATAATTATGTTATTGTCTGCTGCTATTTTCCTCCAGGACTAACTAGATCCACCTTTTCAAGACAAGACTCTAAGGTAAAGTGTGTCATTCTCTGCGTGATGACACACACACGTTGCTCCTCCCTTGTGTCCTTTAATCATAGTTGCTGTTGGCAGAACCAGGCATCAAAAGAACTCCGTGCCAAACAGGGGGGTCCTCATAAATCCTGACAAGGCGTGAAAAGCAACCAAACACCCTTTGTACCCTTTTATCTCAGAGCCTTTGCATCCGCGTTTCATCAGGTTGTTTCCGTATAGGCTGATCGGAGGGAAGGAACATGTTTCCATGAACGCTTATATTATATACGGTACGAGTTAGTCTTTAAGGTGCCCCCGCGTCTTGCGTAACGGCGGCTGTGGTTGTCTCGTGTTTGTTGACGCGCAAACCCCCAGGTTCGTGAAAGCACTCCGACCCGCTTCTCTCGCGCACAGGATCCCCACGTTCTCAGCCGTGCGGCGCCCCGTCCTGC